ATAAATATGCAGTCCCCTCATATTATTTTCTCAAACATTTAAGAAAAAAAAAATACAAGCTTGAAAAATTCAGTGTACATTTTGTATTATTACGCATGAACAGATGATCTGGAATGAATTCATGAGCTAACGATCACCAACAACAGATCACAATGGAAAGCCATAACAGAAAGTAAAAGAAAATATTTCTAATGGACTTCAGGTTTTATTGACCCTTTTCAGGGCGAATTATTACATCCGGTCACCTGAGAGAGAGATATATTCGGATTTCTTTCTGTCTACAGTAAAAGCACAGTCAAAACGCAGTTACTGTAGCAGCTGCGTTTTGACTGCACTTTTACTGTAGACAGAGAGAAATTCAAATGTATATCTCTGTCAGATGACCGCACCAAATAATTTGCCCCTTTTCAGAGCCTTCTTCAGATTTCACCGGTCCCAACAGCTTTTCGTGAATTGTCACCTGATGCCCACGCTTGGTAGTCCTTCACAAGCTGAAAATACAGAAAGTAGCAGTATATTTTGATCAGAACATGAGAACAATTTAAAAGGAATTCAGATAGCCAATAATACGATTTCAATCTTCTTTAGCCTTTAGGGTTTTCTGCTTGTCGGTTCTTGTTTTAAAATGATAGACAGCGAGGGGATAAGAGTACAAAAAGCACATCAACAAACAACAAATCAATTTGTAGGAATACAACTTCTATCCCACTATGGGGTTGGCTATATGAATCTAAAATTATATTTGAGATCATATATAAATCTGAATTTGAGCATAATTTGTAAACTTGAATGTAAAATTTGAATTTATTATCGATTGTAAAACTAAGCAAATCATGTCTAAAATTGCTAAATCAAGAGCAAACTGATAATATTCCTAAAACAATATATGATCATATTACTCTTTTGGTGAATTGCCATGTTATTATCAATTTTATTTTTTGTTCATGAGTTCTTTACTTACAAATTAACACTGCCGTTGTCAGGTCCCAAGTCCTGGATGAGAAAAGTGGAGGGTTGCGTTAGGTAGTCGACAGCCAACGTAAAACTTGTCGAACAATAATGACATGAATCCTTTAAGAAATTGTGTTTAAGTTCTTTACTTACAAATTCATGTGGTGAAAGTTGAGTTCCATCAGTAATATAACAGATTAATTATGACATGTCTTAAACAAAATTTGAAATTTAAAACTCTACCTATATGGTCAAATTGAAGGATACATAATTCATCATGACTGTACATTAAGTCATTTGGGTTAGGTTTCTTTAAAAAGATTGCTCACACATATGATAAATACATCACAGTTGTGGGGTTTGTCTGTTATCAAAAGAATTTTATGGAATTTAATAAATATCAATTTAAAATTTTATTCATCTTCCTGATGTTCTGATGAATTGGAGCATTTCCCAACTTTCACAAGAAGACCATAACAGATATTTCAAAACTACGAGATCACTTCATAATGCCAAAAAATATTAACCACACTACCAATCACAAAAACCAGAAAATAGAAACATATGCAGTTTCTCTATGAGAAAAATTAAAAAGATGAAAAACTAAATCAACATGAAAATTTTTCACATCTATGAAAAAAAGATCATAAATCTTGGTCCAATCACTGTAAAAAAAATTAAAGAAGTTAAATCTTGGAATCTTAGCGCGCCAAAAAATTTTCTGTGGTAACCTTTGGCCAGGGCAAAGGCGCCATTAAATTGCTTTCCTTATAAAATTATTTAATTGAGAAGGTTCCTTCCTCGAGTTTCTCAGATACCAAGTAATGGTGCCAAAGAAAATAAAGTTTCTCCATCGAAAGAAGAATATCAACCATATAGAAGAATATGAATATGTTGGCCGAATTATTGTAGAATTTGTGAGACACCATCCCATTAGTATAACAGAAAGAAAATCACAAGAATCGCAACATAGAAGAAGCCTTTATCTCTTAAAATTATTGATTGGTATCAGAGTGCTAATCAAACTGCCAATATTTACCATAAAAGTGTACCTTCTTAGAAAGAAAAGTAGAATAAAGAAACTTTTAAAAGGTCAAGAGCAGGACTCATTAAGTGCTCTACAAATCAGAGAATACCAGATAGTTCCATAAAACTTGCAATAAAAGTGCAAAAGCTCATACTTAGGTTTCGTTTGGGACGGCTTTCTTATTACTTCTTGATGTAGATTTTTAGTAAAAAATTAAAAATTTTATACTGTGAAGCTGCTTTAAGAAGCATTAAGAAAGCCGTCCCAAATGAAACCTTAATCTCTTGGAGTGATTAATTGGGTAATGAACTTATGATTAATGCTTATGATCTCACCTGGTTTAGAAATCGTGGAAGCATTATTCCTAATAGCTGTTCTAGAACCTGTGTACCTGTCGACTCAATTGCATTTGTTGGAATGCCGCGGAAGAGGAAAGGTATTTCTACAGTTACCTGAAAATCACAAAAGAATCAATTAAAGTTCAACATATTAATGAACTTAAAAAGTGCAAACTCAAAAGATCTAATGAAACCTCAATAATGGTGTCAGTGGTAAGCTGCTGCATCTGTGAGTCACGTAAAGTTGTATCATAAGAAATTTTATTCACCATAGAAGCTGCATTTCCCATATGAAATCAATGTCAAAGGACTCCTGTAAAGGCATAATTGATCTTTAATGTTCTATTTTCTCATGCAAGTACAGAAAAGTTTTAAACTGCTGCCTAATTCAGCACTACATAATGCACCTGTAAACCAGTTCCGGTCATAAGAAACTTTAGTAACCATACATGTTTATGTTGGAGTTAAAAAGGGGAAAGTTGTAGCGGAGGATAGCTTTTTTAATACACTTTTATAAATATCCTAACAGAAAGGATTCTCCTTTTTGTTCTCATGCTAGCCTCAGTTATTATGGTATTAGAGCTGTATAGCAGATGACAATAAGGCCGCAACTGGCGCGATGGCTTCGTCCCAGGGAAACTATGTAATGCAACTATCATTCTTGAAGAGTTTCCTGTACTAAGTAAACACAAGCAGAGAGAAAACAGAGAGTAAAGGAATTTCCATTTCAGTGAAAGGTAAATTCTGTACAGGTTTTACTGTAGCAGCTGGTTACATATATAAAGACAAGTGTAGTACACGTGTAAGGCTAGAATATTTTGAGTTTGTTAGGGAGTGCAGACTGTCCTTTGAGCTGTACTGGGTGAGGTTGCTGCCATTGTTTGTTGAAAGTGCTCAGCTATTATTACGCCCCCGCAAACTAACGATGGAGAGGATTGAATCATTAGTTTTGATCTTAGTAGTTGAAATCTTGGAATAGAAAGTGATTTGGTCAGAATATCAGCGATTCAATCAGTCGTGCTAATGGGAACAACAGTGACTTCGCTAGATTGAATATGGTCCCATATAATATGGAAGTCTACTTCGATGTGCTTCGTCCGAGCGTGGAAGACCGGATTGTGGGCGAGGGCGATAGCCGATGTGTTGTCACAGTTGATGATGGTCGGCTCGGTTGGAGTGATATGGAAGTCTGAGAGAAGTCTTCGGAGCCAAATTACTTCTGCGGCCGCTGCTTCCAATGATCGGTATTCAGCTTCTGTGGAGGAGCGAGCAACAATTTGTTGCTTCTTTAGTATCCAGGAGATGAGAGTGTTGCCGAGGTAAGCACAATTGCAGGAGGTAGAGCGGCAGGTTACGGTATCATTGGCCCAATCTACGTCAGCGAAGGCAGTGAGTTGGAGATTGAATTTGGAGATGGAAAGACCAATGTCTTTTGTGCCTTGTAGATATCTGAGAAGGCATTTTAGGAGATGGAAGTATTGGGAAAGAGGAGAGTGCATGTATTGACAGAGTGCATTAACGACAAAAGCTATATCTGGACAGGTGATCGTGGTGTACTACAGTGAGCTAGTGAGCTGTCTGTAGATTACAAGATAGGAGGATAAGATATCAGTGGGTATATTGGTGGGAGGTTTGGTGTAAGATGGATTGGAGATAGGATTGCAGTTGGTGAGTCCAGCTTGGTGGAGAATGCTGTTGATAGGGGTGTCAATATTTGACACGACCCGAAAACCCGACTCGAACCCGACACGAAAATTTTGGATTCGGTCAAACCGAACTTGAAACGGGTTGTGTTCGGGTCCAAATTTTTGATCCGTTTTGAATTCTGGGTCGGGTTCGGGTTGACCCGGAAACCTGACAATGACCAGTTTCTGACCCGTTTTACTATAGTCCCGCGTATTTACGGGATTTGGCCATGCTTCAGTCTTCACAACGAGCGAACTTGGTGGAGTGAAATGAAGTCAAACAGCAACATCGTCCGTGCCTCCGTGGAGTGAAGTCGAACAACAACGTCGCCGAAGGAGCGAAGTCGAACAACAACGTCGTCGAACTCCCGTCGTTGCTTTCGATCTAACTTCCGATTCCGACTGTGAGCTCCCCTTGTTGCTCCGTTCTAACTTCTGATTTCGACTGGAAGAGTGGAAGGGAACGTCATCGAGGCAAGGAGTGAAGTCGAACAGCAATGAAGGAGCGGCGACTCCTTCACAGTGAGCGACCGTGAGATCCCCTATTTGCTCCATTCTAACTTCTGATTCCGACTGGAAAAGTGGAATGGAACGTCGTCGAGGCAAGGAGCGAAGTCGAATAGCAACGAAGGAGCGGCGACTCCTTCACAGTGAGCGACTGTGAGCTCCCCTCGTTGCTTCCAATCAAAATGTTGTAACTTCCGATCAGACCGAAAGGAGCGAACACGCTAACAGGCGAAATAGCCAAGCGAAGTCGAACAACAACTTGGCGGGTCGGGTTTGGGTTGACCCAAACACGAAGCGGGTCAGGTTCAGGTCCAGAAAACTGACCTGTTTGCAAAAACGGGTCAGGTTAGGGTCGGGTCAAACAGTACCGGGTCAGTTTCGGGTTCGACCCGAACCCGACCCGTGACCCGAAATTGACACCCCTAGCTGTTGATGTAGGAGATTGATAGAGATAAAGGTGGCTAGCGTGAGGGGTGATGTGGATGCCGAGAAAGTTATTGGGAAAATCAAGATGTTTTATTGAGAATTGACTGTTAAGAGAGGAAATGAGGTGTAGGGATTGTGGGTCATTGCCGGTTAGAAGAATGTCATTGATGTAGATTAGGAGGTATGTTTTGAGATTTGTTTTGGTGGAGAATGAAGAGGGAGGGATCGAATTGACTGTAATGGAAGCCGAGGGAGAGAAGGTGAGTGGAAAAGGTTTTGAACCATTGGCGAGGGGCTTGTCTGAGGCCGTAGAGGGATTTTTGAAGCAGGCAAGCATGGTGAGGAAATTGAGAGTCCTCAAAACCTCGAGGTTGTTTCATGCAGAAGGTCTCGTTGAGGGATCCATGTAAGAAAGCGTTAGTGACGTCGAGCTAGTGTATGGGCTAGGAATTAGTGAAAACAAGGGTGAGTAGGATGCGGATGGAGGGGAATTTGGCAACCAGACTGAACGTTTCTGTGTAGTTGAGATAGTACTCTTGGCGGTGGCCGTGAGCGACAAGTCTGGCCTTATGTTTGGAAATTGATTCATTGGCATGCCTATTGGTTTTGTATGTCCAACGATAGCTTAGGATGAGGGCATTAGGTAGAGGAACAAGCCGCCAGGTTCCTTCTTTTTGAAGAGCTAGAGATTCGTTGGCCATAGCAGTGCACCAATGAAATTGTTGGGAAGCTTCGGTATAATTTGATGGGTTCAGAGTTGTTGGGGCGGTGAAGTGGTTAAGATTGAGGATTTGTTTAGGCTTGAGAGAACTAGTCTTGAAGAGAGTAAGCATGAGATGAGAGGAGGGCTGTGTTGGAAGAAGGTATTGGTGGTAGTAGGTTAGGGGCTGTTGGTGAATGGGATGAGTGAGAAGGTATGATGTTGGGACTTGGTTGATATTTGGAGAGGCGTGTGAGGAGTGTTGGGATGTAGTTTCTATGGAGGAATGAGAGGTAGGTGTTGAGAGTGGTTGTGTAAGAGAAGCTGGCATAACATGTGAGTTGTGGTAAGGGTTGGGTGGTGGGTTGAGAGGCTTATTCGGTTGGGTGGCAAAGGGGAAGTAGGATTCGTCGAAGGTGACATGGCGAGAGATGTATATGCGACCGGAGATGGGTTCAAGGCATTTGTAGACTTTATTTGAGGTGGCATATACGAGGAAGACTGATTGTGGGGATTTGAGAGAGAGTTTGTGTCGAGCATTTGGTGGCAGTAGAGAGTAACATGCACATCCGAAGACACGAAGGTGGGGAGTATTGGGGTGAGGTGTCTACAGAGGATTTTTTTGAGGGAGTTTTAACGGAATAAGTTTCGGGGTAAATTTTGGAAGGCAGATGAGTTTGTAGATAAGACACTACACAGAGATTTCTCCCTCATTTTGCGAGGACTTTATGATCTGAGTTCTGGTTTCTTATAGGCGCAAGCCCCTATAGTAATTACCCCTCCTGAGAACGAGAGAGAACTTTCGATTAAGGCTAGTCGTCAATCAGATACATTGTATCCATAAATACATAGTATCAGGCGTATAGTAGCAGCATGAGCATAGGTATATGAAAAGTTTGGATGTTTGGAAAATTGATATTTAAAACAGAAATTTCACCATCTTTCACTTAAAGCGGATGATGGGGGAATGGATGATGGACCCGATCAAGATCCCATGGTTCTGTCATCCTGGGCCATCGTGGTCCTTGGTCTACTTAGTCAGAGGAGGTAGTCGACCCAACCTGACAGAAGGATCCTTATCGATAACCATGGGTTGATTCGTCCAAGGGTACCTTGTAGACCTAGGGTGAATGTTTGTCTAAGGGGACAAATTTGAATCCACCTTAGCTAACAAAAGGCTTTGTGCCCTATCGATTATATCCTATTAATTCATATATCAAGGATTTGATGTCAATAAAGAGCGTATTGGCTCTGGCCATAATCGATATTTCGTGGTGCCAATTGGTGGTAAAACCACTTGATTGAGAGGGCCCCGGGTCATAACTGTTTATCCTGTGGTGCCATTTGGCGGCAAAACCGCCGATTAGAGGACACATACCAGAAGTTATATTTGAATTTGTTCACCTCGGCAAACTTTTGCGGAGGGTGAATGGATTTTACTTTGAGTGGTTGATGATTGAGTTTCAATTTTAAATATCTAAATCTGGGATTTTCTGAGATTTTTGGATTTAAGAACTTATGGAGTTTTGGATTTTTAGGCATTTGGATGGAATTTGAAAGTATTTGTGAAATTAACCCCTCCGGTTGAGATTTTCATTCAACATGGCCATCATCGGGGTATTTGGGGTCATTTGAAAATATTTATGTTTTGAACCTTATCGACTCTGTCAAGCTGTCGACAGAGGATCGGGTTTCGCAAGCTTTATGCCTTTGTGAGTGAATTATCTTAATTATAGGCCTTGATGGTCTAATATGAATGTACTAAAACAAATACACAGGTTGCCACAACCGTGCATTTGTTTGAAGGTTCGAACCCTGTCGACTCCTATTGATCAGCATAGAAGGATCGGGTTCGAACTTGAATTCACTTATTGACCCGCGCAGCATCCCTAGGCATCACGTCTGTACCAATAACATGCTCGTTGGGGCCCATGCAGGTGTTTGGGGATATTTTATAAT